ATAACCCACCTAATTTCCTCGCCCACATCTTTGGAATACACCTCTGTTCCTGTATGGACGTCCACTACTCTCATGAAGTGGTCAGCGCCGCACGAAAGAATCCGCTGTCCGTCTGGAAAAAACGGTCCCTGTTAGGTGCTATACTATCTAAATATGCACGACTGCAATATTACTTCTCCTTGGATAAGCATAGTGAGGGGCAGCAGTCTCATAGAGGATAACATAACGGCTTGAGTGATATTAAAATCTGAAGGTAGTGAACCTGGACTTGTATGATATCACTGGTCAACCCTTGAACCCCTTGGAATGACCAGCGTCTTATTTCTCCTTACAATATCACCCCTGAGTCACATATTAAGGTCACGAGAATAAAGGAAATGATCACTAACTTAACAAACTCTTCATTATCAAACAAATTCTCCTTGTCAGCACTTTAGGATATGTATATAAAACAGTAAGGAGAATATATTTACTGATGTTACAATGTGAAGGGTAAAACCCCTTATAATTAAGCAGATTTTCTACCAATTCTCTGATATCTGCACCCTACCTTAGGGGCCTCGCTTATAAAAATACGATCAACTTAAAACAGAGTCCACAACCCTGACTTGGGAGGCCCTACATCAACAATAACTATTACAGTTAAATACAAATAAATCTGGCTGGCTTACCTGGGCTAAAAAGAACTGAATGTACCGTCTCTTTATGAACTAATTATAAAAAGAAATATGCGTTAACTTTCTTGCAAACAAACTTATCGAGTGAAAGGCAAAGTGTTTGGGTCAAACCTAGAATGAGCTCTCTCAGAAAGGTCAAGGCCAGGGAAGGGGGAAGTTGACAGGATTTTCTAGAGGGAGGGGGTCTCACTAGTATTTCGGGACCCTACTGCTCTCTATTTAATGGAAAGTGTTTCTCATCCCCCTGACAAAAAAAAGAATTCCTGACATTAGATCAATTGGAGGATGTCAATTTGATTTGACGTTTTGGGTCTAGTGCTTAAGAATCATGCAACAGCCTGGTCAACAAGCGCCACACGGATCCTTAACGAGCTATTGGTTAACAAAACGGAAAAAAAATGTGGTTGAATTTAACATGCCTCTTGAACGGTCAGGGGAAAGCGAGTCGACTGCTTGGGTTAAAATTTCTTTCCTTTCAATTACTTTTCTTTTATTCAGTTATTGTAATAAGTTGAGGGAAAATCGAAAGCTGTACTCACTTGGGTGATGACTGATGGCCGCTTGTTGATCAATGTTCCAAAGCATTACAGTTCCTGACAATAAAAAGAAAACAGCGCTCAAAAACTATCGCAGGAGGGGGGGGGGGAGGGAGGGCTAACCTTGGGGAGAGGAGAGTTCAAGAGTGTACGCTAACCTTAGGGAGAGGATAGTGTAAGACGATAAAAACAAATCATAAATGTTAAAAGCCACAAAAGTGCTCACCGTCCATAGTGCCTGTCACTACAAGAGTGTTTGTAGGATCAAGATCTACAGAGTTCACCTTCAAAATTAGAAAATGGAGATTGAGACATCAAAATACGAGAATCAAAAAGGTAAAAAACAAAAATATTGAAATACTTCGAACATACCTCAGTGTCATGTTCCAGCTCAGCCTGGAAAAAATGGATGACATAAAAACATGAATGATGGGTACAAATGTCTTATTCAGGTTCTCAGCTGCTAAGATCATGACCAACAACGAGTCTAAAATCACTCCCATTCAATTAAAAGAGCCACAGACAAGAAATTACTGTATTTCTTTGCGGCTCAGAGCCCGAGCGTTTTGGACACGTAACACGTCGTAAGTAATCAATAAAAACTCCATTTATCGTCCATGCTGATTGCTCTAACGACCGAGTTCCAAGAGCAGTTGCTAAAAAGTGGTGCTGAGCCCTTTTCCCGTGTTGTCATCCACCATTTCGAAAGTTTATGCGGATTATCGCGATAATTTTGGTTCCAGACTCCGGATGCCCGTTTCCATTTGCCCGTTCCCATTTCTCCATTCCTGTTTTTAGTAACATCCCTGGAATCTAACAGGAATTAAAACGCACACTTTACCAAAATTTCAGGCGGCGAGGGTTTCTTGCCATCCGGTTCTGGAAAGAACTTCCACACCTTGGAGTGAATAAAATGCACCAGTTACATTAATGCATACCAACATAAACCAGTCAAACACGTGAACGCTGTATCGACAGTGGAACTAAACTGAGGAACAAGGCTTCCACTCAACCACATACCAATAATCTAAACAAAAACGCAACATGACAAAAAGCCTCAGTAGCAGGAAGGACACCATGCGGTATTTAAGTTAAACTCGGGACTTCACAAAAAAAATTTCGGGCGGGTCGTAGTTGGACTCGAACTTAGTATCTCCCGAAAGCCGGGCCTACGTACTCATCACGCGAACTCGCTGCCTCTCTCGTTTCAATAATTTGTTTTTGGATACAGGTTCAAATGTTTGAAAATGTTTCTGAATAAAATAAAATCGTTATCGTGGCAGCTTAGTTAAGTTGCAAGAAAGCGGCAGGTTAGCAACTTCTCTGCCGTATCAAAACTCGCTGGTTTCTGGACTGAAGGAGACAGGGGAGGAATAAGATTTCTTAAAACATTGTTCATCATTGACCATAATCCTGACGTGGCAACTGACAAATTAAAGCTTACTTTGACTGTAGAATCCCATGAAGCTGTGACTAAGATACCGTCATTCCAGCAAAGACATGAAACTAAATTGTAACAAGAACACAGATGAATATTGAACTCTTATGTTTTCACTTTTTCTTGGTAACACAAGACACTCTAAACAACCGCCATCCAACTATTTAAGACAGATTTCCCAGAATATAACCCCTTATTTGGTCCAAAACGACCATCAAGTTCGATAATTGGATATTCATAACCGCTAAGCCAATACTTTGGTTAACTTTCTGCGTTTACTTCCCTATGTCGCATTGCTCCGCGACTTCTGACTGCGGATTGGTTGAGAACGATCCGGCATTGTTAGCGCTCTTCACTTGAGTTAAAACCAAAGAAATCACACCAACAGTTCAGAACAAGGATGAGTACTCTAACAAGCAAACAAGAACACCAAGCCAATAGTAGGCAAGAAGCTCACATGCACGCGAGACCAACTCAGGCAAGCGGTTGTTGGACTTCGTTTTAACATTTTATTGGTAGAAAAGTGTGCGCGAGTTTCTTAGACCAATCAGAATAGAGTAAAAAATTTTTGGATTACTTTTGACACTCAGTGTTAAATGATTGTATCCAGTTCTTGTGGCTTATACTTACTTGCATCATCATGTCCAGCCTTGGTATCAACAACTCTTCCATACTCAACAGAGTAAATGTAGCTGAAAACACAAGGGATGATTTTAAATTCAAATTACTAAGCGATCGCTCTAAGCTGTGGACGATTTTCCTTCTCTCCGCTGGCCTGATAAGCAGGCACTAAAGCAATCCTGGAGGCAATTTGAATAAAACACACGCTGAGCCACGAGGCCTTTCTTTCTTCGCGTACTCCTTTTGAGATCACGATGGCTGCTCAGTCTGCGAAACCTTCACTGTCCCCTTCATTCAGCGAAACTTCAAAGATGTGCATATTACGTGAACAAATTTTCCTTTCTTCATATTTCCCAGAATGTGAAAGCTAATTTTACTACCAGAGAGCTACTTTCGAAGCATAGTGTAAACTGAAAGCAAACGTGTAATAAAAACCCAAAAATGCTTCAAAACTTGTGAGAAAGAGAAAATAAGCCTGTCACTCACATTTTGTTATCCCAAGATCCAACTATGATGGTTTTTGAGTCCGGCATAATGGCACATGACGAAAGCGCCTGTCAAAGGAATTGAGCTTTTTCAAAAATTTCATTATACTGAAAAGGTCCTGGCAATCGGAGGAAATTATTACTGCGATTACTATTGCGATTACTACGACGACATAGCAAAACTTTTTGAACCCAGACCTGCAGTATATAATGCGCCGATCAAATTACTCAAACAATTCCTTAGTTTCTTGATCCATTTGTGAAGTTCACACGCGTTATTATTCTCAAACATTCATCCCCATACTGGTGATTAAACACAAGATTGCTAAAAACACTAGCAAGACCCAGGGATTAAACAATAAAAAACAAACACTTGTGAAGAAAACTTACCATTGACGATAAATTGATTCCACGAACTTGCTGCTTGGTTTCTAATGAGTACATCTTCAGTTGTGTATCTGAAAATCGAGATGCCACCAATTGTGAGAATACAGAGTCAAAGTTAGCCTTTTGATTCCCAAAATCAGGGTTTCAAGCTTCGTCCCTACTAGCTGTTTTTAAATTAGTTTAGAGAGTTTTCTCTTACGAGAATACTATATAAGGATCCTGTTACAGTCGTTCACTGAGTTAACGGGACACAATAGAAGCACAGAGCAAGATAAGGAGAATGGTATATATGCACGATCCTTCGCAGTAAAGCACTATTTGAGCAATAGTGAAAATCAGACCTGAAAAAAATTTCAGGCCTGTACGGTAGAGCGCTGCAGTAGTATCGCAGAGGTCAGTGGTTCGAATCCCGTACAGGCCTGAAATTTTTTTTCAGGTCTGATTTTCACTATTGC